TATAAGATCAACATGCAGAAGACGAGGGCACTGAAACAGACTAAGGATATGAAGGCGGACATTCATGACACGAAGATCAACGTCCAGGACATGCAGACCGATACTTCCAATTCGAAGATCAACATGCAGAAGATGAAGGCGCCGGAACAGGCTCAGAAAATGCAGGTGGACATTGAGCACAGGAAGGTCATGTTCCAGGACATGAAGGCGGACATTCAGAACACAAAGAACAACGTCCAGAACATGCAGGAGATGAAGGCCAAGGAAGAGGCTCGGAACATGAAGGGGGACATTCATGACACGAAGGTCAGCGTTCGGGACATGCAGAAGATGAAGGCACCGGAACAGGCTCGGGACACGAAGGGGGACATTCATGACACAAAGAGTAACGTCCAGAACATGCAGAAGATGAAGGCACCGGAACAGGCTCAGCACGTGCAGAAGATGAAGTCCAAGAAACAAGACAAGGACATGCAGACAGACTATGAATCAGAAGGTAGCTCGACCGTGATACACGACGATTGCGAAGCTGAGTGGACGGCATACCTGTGGCGACAGGTGTCGCAAACCAAGAAGGACCAGAGGTCAACCACTCCATCATCTACCGACGAATGGATGGAAAAAATCAGGCAACTGGACGAGCTCAGTGATATAAGCCCTCTCCCCGAGTATCGGGAGAATTGGGAGGAGGGGGAAGATGTGTGGTGGCGAAAAGCATGTCAGCGGGAATGGAACCGTTTCAATTATAGGACGGAGCACCTAGAGCCGCCCGAGTGGCAGAGAGATTTCGTGGACCGACGCTTGAAATAGTAGTATTCTAGCTTCTAGATCAGCCAATGCAAGAACCTATTCTTAGATCAATCCATCCACTAACCTCCCCCAAAGCAAGTATGTTGTAGAGCCTGGATACCCCCCATCCATTGCTGGAGTCTTCATTCACCCTCTCTCCAAAAGCAGCTGATTTCGGAAAATAATACAGAGGCTTTAGGCATGTCGCCGAACCAGCTTCTCATCAAGAATTTTATTCTGCGCCAGGACCCGCAGAAGCTGTCCGTCGAGGCGCTTCCAGTCTACTAATAAGCCGCCGGGAAGAGCGCCGGTATACTCACACTCCTCGTCAAGTTATCAGCTCGTGTGCCCGCTGTATGCGTTCAATACGTCTGAATTGTATCCGTGTATACATCAAGTATACTGAGGTGGAAGGAACGAGGAGGTGGTTCCGCTTGCCTTGCCGAGTAAGTCATGGTGTTGCCCTCCCCCCCCCTCCCCCCATCCCTTCTGGCCTTCCTTGATTCTTAACCATCCTCATGTCCTGAAAGCATGTTTACCCTGCAAAGTATGTATCATTTTGAGGGCCATCATTCCAGTGGTATGTCAACTACCGGACTGAACACCTGGAGCCACCTGAGTGGCAGCGAGACTACAAGCGTACTGACCCCCGCCGATGGTAGCTTATAGACGAGGAATCAGTGAGTCTTACGCTGATCTTTCCCTCCCTCTGCCCTGTGCATCTTTTGCTGTTCTCCACGGCTTCTTGATGGGTATCGCTTTGCTAACGCGCTCCGTTCCTGGCTTCGTTGCAGGAGACTCTGAGAACCCCGAGACAGAATAGCCACGGCGATATCAGGTTCATCACGGGTCTCGAGAAGCATTTCCTCATGCGGGGACATACGATCCCAACAGCCTGAGCGGCCCTAGAGCGAAGCCGTGCTGCGAAGCCAACCAACTACGAGTCCTGGGTGTATGATAGCCTCCCCGACTACTTGAGGCGGACTGGACCGCCTACTTATGGCGACGATTATCGGAAAGGGAGAATTTGAGGAAGATCGACTCCGCCGGTTGAGAAAAACCGGCATAATGGAGAGGATGCTTAGTGGAGAAAAGCCTGCCAACGAGAATGGAACCAATTCAACTATCGCACGAAACACCTGGAGCCCATCGAGTGGCAGAGGGATCATAAAGACCCTCGTCTCTAGTCTAGTTTATTTTCAGAGCAGTCAACGTGTTAGCGGCCATGAGGCCTCAATATCCAAACTTCTCACCGCCACGGCTATGGCCATGCTCAGAGTCTCACTCATTGAAGCCTCGAGTAGCCGATTTTCATCATCATGTTGACGCTCTGCGGCCTCAGGCTGCTGCTTACCGCCCACCTTGTTGTTCTTAGCTAGTTCTGCAGATAGCCTCAGATAGTCAGAATCCACCGTCTACCCACGTCCTTGACACACCTACCCAGGTTCCTCGAATACAATAGTGGTCTTTGCATCTTGTTCTTTCTCGAATAGATGCGTATCTTCAGAGTAACATGGAAGGAGGTCTAGCGCTGACTGTTTTCAATCGCTTTTATGCGAACGCCATACACTGGGAACCTGACTTTTACAAATAAGGGTTGCCCAAGATGTACGTCGCGGTGACTGGAGTGAGGGGATTGGACTAACCCACTTCCTGCGGAGGATTAAAGGCACACAAGATAGGGGAGGTATACAGTACGTACGTACGTGCGAACAAACCCGCTTGCATACACCGAAGCATATCTCGTACGAAGTGCACGCGATTGACTTTACAGCAAGCAAGCCGCGGGGCCATGTCCACGTCGACCGCGAGTCTGGGAAACAGGGGGGCTGCAATTTTCAGCTAGCGGACTGACTACACTACATTGGTGGTGATGATGATGATGATGATGATGATAATAATTCTATTAATCTAAGCCTATTTTTATGTAGAAGCCCGCATTTCGAGTATATAAGCTATAAAGATACTTTATTAATATAAAATTATATCCTAATATTCTAATATATTCCTAGTCTTGATCTAGTAATTAAATTAAATTGTTTTTATACTTCTTTGGATCCAGGCTTTTTCAGAAATCTAATTCATATTTTATTTCGAATATTAAGGACAGTTTTTTCTAATCTAAAAATCTTATATAGAAGCAGTAGATATAAATCTATATTCAAAGCTGAATTAGACCAATTTAGCTATATAGAATATATTACAAATTTTTAAATGGACTGTTCTTTTTATCTATCTTTTTTAGTAGACTTATTTTATTCTAGATCTATCGAAATAAATATCTTAAAATAGAGTATATAACTGCAATAGGATTCGAATCTGAAGTCTTCGAGGCTTAGTAAGAATTCTAATTCTTACTGTTATCCGAAGCCTAGCCGACGACGTTCTACCACTACGCCATCTGCGGCCGATATATTGATGACACACCCGCCGGCAGGCAGTCCGATATGTGGCCAAAGCCATGCTCAATCCAGGCCTACTTGGGGCAATGAAACTACGGCCAATCGTGGCCAGGGGCATTGAGGAAAGCGAGGAATTTATGAGGCCTACATGGCAAATGGGAATTGGCAAGTTGGCACTAAGCCATTGTGATTTGCAGAGATAGTATTGCTTGTCAGCGCCTGAACCGAAGAGGATGGCTCGTGAGAGCTCAACTAGCGGGTGTATCTCTGCCGGTAGCGCATGGCTCTTTCGTAAGCTTCCTCTGAGATTCTCCATCGTCGAAACTCCTCACCGTCCCACTCCCATTCTCTCTCGGTTCTCTTGAAGTCTCCTACAAAAAAGCTGGGAGTCGCATTAGCGAAGATAGAACTGGAGATAAGAGGATAGAATGGATGGGGTACAGTACATCTTCTGCTTCACCGGATCCCAGAACAGCTGACTGGGCACCCACATGGTCGATGGCACGATCTGGTGCCGGCCGAAGGAGCTATCACTTTCAGTATCAACAGAATCCAAAATCCCTTCTCTCCTGTCGGCAGAGAGCAAACTTACGTGAAGGCAGCTTTGAACGCCAGACGAACTTGCTCTCTTTCATCCGGCGACATCTCGTAAAACGCCCCCTCGCCAATCACACCGGTCGACAGCGCAACCATCCCCCCGTCCTCTTCACGGACAGTTGTCAGGGCGATGTAAAGCACGTAACCTCCCGGCACCCAGCCCCCGGGGCCCTGCGTGGTCTGCCGGGATCCGATAAGTGCTGGGGCGTGCTCGCAGTGTATATCGCGAAGCTTGCCGTGCGCGTCCATGCATTTTCTGGCACGGGGACATACGACATCGACGGCTTGACGGGCCCGTTGGCTTGGCGGCTGCCACTCCGTGCCGGTCACGGGAATCTGGACGTACATTTGCACCATCGCTGGCGCGCCGGAGGCTGTGTCCCTGCACAGCAGCTCAATGAGGACGTTGGGCTTGACGCCCCCTCGGTCGCTCTCCTCCTGACTCATCTCGGCGGCGGCTTCGTCGAGGACCTCCACTATCTCAAGGTGGGTTTGCGGAGACGGGCCGTCGAGAGTTAGTTAGATCCTCCGGGACGAGAGAGGGGAGCATCCATGATTGGGGGGGTGTCATGTCGCTTTGGGGAGAGAGAGATAGATAGACAGATAAGGAGGTCGTTATGAAAATAGAGAGAGAGAAGCCGAAGCAGGCTGGATGATCTTGAGTTATGAGTTTGAGGAGGAGAAGTGGAAGTGAAGGAAGGAGAAGCTATGTCCTTAGCATGATGTCAACATGTCAGGTGATCCCGGAGGATCATACTTGAAACCCCCATCATAGCCTTCGACTCTGGTACGTAGTGTTCGCATGAAAGCACAAGACAACAGCCAGCGCTGCATGTTATTCCATGCTCTTCTCGACGCTACGCGCTTGGTTGAGGACGGGTAAGGTGGAGAAGCTCATATTGTGTCAGGGGTATGGTTAAGTGATGGATTAATCCAGGCTAGGTGAAGTTATTTCTGTTCAGTGTCTTAATTTTAATGATGAAGGCTACGGCATCATATGTTCTTGCAGCTAGGGAAGACTGAGAACAGGTAATTCTGTTGGAAGGTCTGCGAGACATGCGTACGGTTTGATAGATCCTGACTCGGACTAACTCTCTTGCCTTCAATGACTGACTCTACGACTCTCCGGCCGTCTGATATAAAAGCTCCTCGCGCCAACCCCAACCCAGTGCAAATGTCGCCCCAGGTCCAAGAGTAAGAAGTGACCCTGCGAATGCCCCACCGGCTCTCCACCAGGAAAATTGAGCTCCAGCCTGCTTCAACTCGCGGAAGCGCAGCGCCAGCCATACAAACCCACTCGTCATCGAGACGAGCTCATCATACTTCAAGAAGCGCGCGATGCAGGCACTGAAAGACTTCACTGGGACCGAAGCGTCTCGCAAATCAGGCAGGAAGATGCTACTAAAGGAAACATTCCGTGGGGCCGTCATCCGGCCGTAAACAAAGGTGAGCCCGGAGACTAGGGCGAAGGTACCGTATGCCCACCGGATGTATTGCAGTTCGTTTCTCTGTGGCTTATGCTGGACATCCCGTGACTTCGGGGATGGTCTGTTGAGCACGCGGGCCGCAAGCAGGATGGTGCCCTGAAGGAGGGGAGTGGTCAGTAGGAAAGCCTGCCAAAGAGCATTGTACCACTGGCGCAACTTGAGGGTTGGGGCGAAGAAATTGGCATATGTGATCGAGTGGTATCCTGCCAGGGTGGAGAGAACCAGAGACCCGGTGAGGCCACAGGTTATCTTTCTGTTCTCGCCCGCGAGCAGTGTGGACAGGGGCGTGCGGAGATATTCCAACGCGAGGTAGAGAGGGGCAACTTTCCAGATGCCCACCAATTGAAATATGCTACCTGCTGCCATGGGTCTGTTTCATCGACCAAATGAGTCAGAATTCACGTCGGTTGGTATGCGGAGAACTCACAGAATTACCTGGTGCCATGAGTGCAACTTGCGGTAACTCTCCAGCAACCAGATTCCATAGACTGGTCCCAGGTCCGTCATGAACGATAACATCTGGATGCGTGAGCGC